CCCCCCCCCCCCCCCCCCCCCCCGCATCTCTCACCATGAGCTCCACGGAGCCATCGGCCACACTGCTGCCCCCCTGCGAGCGATCCGTCAGCACCGTCAGCTGGAACTTCTTGTTCTAGAGAGAAGAGGGAGCCCAGAGCTAACCGAGGGGGCGAGGCCCTGCCGGGCAGGGTCACTCACCCGCTCCCTCCAGCAGGGGACATGGGGAGCAGCCCCCCACCTCCCCTCCAAGCAGCTCTCCTGCTCTTCCATCCTCGTGCCTGCCTGCAGCTTCCTGACCCCTTCCTGGGCTACATTCCCCGTCCCTGTTGCTGGGGGGGGTGTCGAGCAGATAGCCTGGGGTCCAGGCAGGGAGCACGTTGGGGGGGGGAATTAAGAGAGTGGCAGGTGGGGCTGCGTTTCTTCTTTCTGGAATAGCCTCCCTCCTGTGTCTCTGCAGCACCACCTCCTGCGACACTATGCTCCATATTCCTCAGAGAGATATTTCCATATATGATTGTGGCATAATTACGATGCATTTTGCACAAGCTGGGTCATACGACGTGTCCTTGGACCAGTGCTGATTTGCTGAATATGATTATCCCCTTTGGATGCATGTAGCATGTTTGTATCTGAAGTTATAAATACTGGCTGGGTGTATTTCAGATGCGCTTAGTCTGAGGCTGTGTCTAGACTACGCACCTTCGAGCGACCCAGCCGTGCCGCTAAACGGTGCGCAGTGGAGCTGCTGTTTGTTGGCAGGAGAGAGCTCTCCCCCCGACAAAAATCTTCCACCCCCAACAAGCGGCGGTAGCCGTGTTGGCAGGCGAGCGCTCCTGCCGCCAAAGCTGTTCACACCAGCACTTTTCCTCGGCAAAACATTTGGCGTTCGGGGGGCAAGGGTGGTTTTTTTCACACTCCTGAATGACAAAAGTTTTGCTGACAAAAGTCCAGTGTAGACAGAGCCCGGGTGACCCCCACAGCCAGCCTTTCGGGTACAACAGTGAAGAAGCTAGACAGAGCTGATGGACTTTGAACGGGCTTGGCCTGCCTGTAAACGTTTCAACCAGCCTGTAAGTAACGGCTGCTGTGACCCAACCAGGGCATGGACCCAGACCATGTGATACCGGACTCCATGTTGGGTACCTGTAGCTTTCCACGAACTGGGTGGGAACTGGTTTTGGAACAAAGGGTTCCCACCCTATGTTAAAGCTATATAAGGTGGGGCGTGACGTCATCTAGGGGCCTCACTCCCCACCTAAGAGAACTCCTGGAAAGACGTGAGGAGCAAAGAGTGAACTGGGGGCAGTGCTGGACCCAGGCTCAAGGGATTTCTA